AACACCTAAGGATGAGATGGATGAATGACAAACTGTTAATTCAGCTCAGTTATATCATGATACCTTCAGTATCTTGGGAAATCTAAACCCATTTCTCCTATGAATAAAGTTGCCTTGGATCACAAAGCCAAGTGAAACACCTGACTCTGTTTTACCATTTATGAAATGGGGATAATAGGTATCTATATCATCCAGTCTTCTTTAAACATCTTTACAAAAGGATGCTTCAAGAGCACAGACTAGTGTTAAAATAAAAAACTAGACCCATAAAATCATACTAAAGTAATTTTTGACCAGAAAGCAAAGTCCTTACTCCCTAGACAAACCGAAATACTTTCCACTGATGAATTATTCATTTAGTTTAGTAAAGAATTTACAGTTATTTTGATTTAATCTTTGAATAAAGCATACACTTAGGAAAAAAACCTCAACTCTCCCTCCCCAGTTTTTAACAGCACTCAACAGAAGTGCCCTAAAATGTGTATATATTCATTGATTCTGCTGCCAATCTTAGATTTCCCCCCCAAAAAAAGAAGATAAACTTCAACTCCAACATATGATTAGAGAAGAAGCAACAATCACTTAAACAAAAACAAAACAAGACAGACAAGACAACACAGCTTTATTAAAAAGGAGAAAAACCCTAAGGGAATTTTCAACTCCGTAGTTCTAACGAGAGGGGTTGAAAAGAAGTAAAGCAGAGAAAAGAAGAAAAAAATTATCTTTGGGACAAGATGTAACAAAGAACACGAGACTGAAGCAGAAACAGACTTTCAAATGTTAACCTCAGGTTTTCACAGAAAGGACTATTGTAGTCATAGCTCTGTTCCCAAAGGAGCGTAAGCGACACAACAACATCACCACACACAAAACTCAGCATATTTCATGAGCAGGAGGCTGAAGAAGAGAACAGGTCAAGGTTGATATCACCAGCACAGCAGAGAGAGGGAGCTTGCACTGCAGTTGTCTGAACCACACCTAGTCTGCAGTTAAATATAGAACTTTACTTTCTGGAACTATTGCTCCTCTTAACCTTCAGAGCATAAATATTCGGAGAGATATTAAAAAAAAATAAATAAAAAATAAAGGAGGAAGGAGAGAGAGGGAGAAAGAGATCTGATTCTATTGTCCGAAATCTAAGCCTAGCAACTAATAAACTACCCTGGGAGGATTTCCAAAAAAGCAGTAAAGACTGGAGAATTCAATTACAGAAACCACAAGCAGCATTCTGGAAATCCAGTATAAACCAATTAGTTTCTTTAATATACATACCCTGTATAAAAACACTTATGTACATTAGACATTTCAGTGTATGTGCTGGCCCTAATTCTAATCTTAATTATAGCAGCTTGGCACCAATATAATAATTAATTGCACTGGAGTTTTTGTTGATTTAAATATTTTTAAAAAGAGAAACTAACCCTTCAACCCTTCTCATTCAGTTCATGAGCCAAATCCTGACCGGTGCTGTGCATTTTCAGTTGGAGAGCCTGCTCCTAGAAACAAATCTCTCTAATTTTTGCAATCAAATTCAGATTCTTTCCTTGAAGTGCTCTCAGCTGGTTTGACACATCAACTTTTAGCAACTGCACTTCTTACCAACAGGATCCAAGTCAAAAGCACGTACACCACAATTAACTGATACAGCAGCTCAAGACTTTGATCCTCACCCAAAAACCTGGTTATACAGCTTTGTAGTAACGTTTCAGAAATTTATAGGAAGAAGTAACTCTGCATTATCTACATGGGAATTAAGGTCTAGATTCAACTTTCTTATCTTCAGGTATTTAACTAAATCACCAAAGTTAGGTCTAACTGCAGAAGGCTCCTTTTTTGAAGCCAGAAAGGTGCATATAGGCCTCATGAGTTTCATCAGTGGGAGGCAACAGTCTTCTGGATCTCTGTTTGTCATTGCTGAATAGCTAGAAGGTTAGATGAACCAGCACTTTCCTGAGGTCCCCAGATAAACTTGCATTTATCATAGAATCATGGTATGTCGTGAGTTGGAAGGGACCCACAAGGATGATGGAGTCCAACTCCTGTCCCTGCACAGGACAAGCCCAACATTCACACCATGTCCCTCAGGGCCTTGGCCAAATGCTGCTGGAATCTTGTCAGGCTTGGTGCCATCAGCACCTCCCTGGGGAGCCTGTTCCAGTGCTCCACCACCCTCTGCCTCAAGAACCTTTTCCTCATGGCCAACCTCACCCTCCCCTGCCACATCTTCCTGCCATTTCCTCTGCTCCTGGCATTCGTTGGTGGCCAGAGAGAAGAGATCAGCGCCTGCCCCTCCTCTTCCCCTTGGCAGGAAGTTCTAGACCCCCAGGAGATCTCCTCTCAGCCTCCTCCTCTCCAGGCTGAACAAACCAAGTGACTCCAGCCTCTCCTCACACCCTTCCCCTCTAAACCCTTCCCCAATTTTGTGGCTTAATTTAATTAAGGAAATCAGTCCATTGAACTGAGCAGGATGCCTCCACTCACAGTCAACACTAAATTCTTTAGAGGAAAATGCAAATTAGCAGATAAATGGTACCAGACCACACACAATGCCAAACACCATTTTAGTGGGTAAATGCTTATTCCTGACCCTATGGCATCAAGTGAACCTGATCTGCTTGGGCCAGACAGCCAGGAGTCTGGTTACCTTCATCCTGGCTGGTGTTATCAGTCATATTACGGACAAGCCTGGAAGACTCCAGTGACTTGTAAGTGAAATGAGTTAGCTTCTTCCTAGGGCTCCCCAGAGAGTGTTTTCCTCCCACTCTTTCAAAACTTGTCACATAAACCAGCTCATCCTTACAGCTCAACTAGGCCTATTAAAGTACAACAGTTAAACAACCATCTTCCCAACTTCTTTTACGGTGCAGTTTTATTGTCATCCAAAGCTTTTACCGCAGCTCAAGTTGACCATGTTCCTGCCTCAAGTAAAACCCCTCAGCTGTACTTTCCAGTACCTACACACAAGGCTGCGAGATTCAGTGCTTGTGGTGACCCAGGAAGAGCTCTGCAAATTAATATTAAAGCCAGGATTAAGGCAATGTGGCAGAAGTCTCCATTTACCAGCAGAATAAGAAGAAAACCCAGTGCCAAAGACCTTACAGAGCACAAGACAAGACACAGCAAACAAAACGTGAATGACAAAGAAGAAGAAAGAGGTTAATGAAAAATTAGAACGAGTAATTATGTATCTGCACACACAACTGGATGATTTCCAATGTCAACACCAACTTGCTTCTTTCCAGACACAAAAGTGAATCTCACATCTGTCTAACAGACACATACCAAACCATTACAGGTTGTTGGACTTGTTGAGAGTGTCACAGCAGAGACTGGCTTTAGGAGAGATCAGAAGGAGGAAAGGGTAGTGCTGGCTTGCTTAGCTTTCTCTTTCAGCTCTGTGTTTCCACAGCACCTAGCACAAAGGAGTCTAAGGCACTACCATGATTTAAATAGCAAATAACAGCAGTTATCACACTTTACGCCAGATAGAAACCAGGAAGGAAAACATCCATGTCCAAAGAGCTCTGATTCTACTTCAGAACAACTCAATATTTCACATTCAGGGGGTTAATAAGGAGATGGGATTGTCCTGAAGGTACACTGAGCTGTGGCATTTTGTCATTCTACATTCTGCAGTCAGGACAGTCATACAGGCATTTCAGTGTACTAAAGATCCTACACTGTACACTGTACTGCCTGTGTGGAGGGGGACACTAGAAAAACACAGTCCCCTGCACCATCAGACTTTAGGACTTTGCATGAGTTGGGTTTAGCAAAGCAGAACACATTTCAAACAATCACATTATTTCCTTTGGGGAAACATTCAGCCAAACCTGAAAACATCAACACAGTGCTAGGACAGGATATGGACACAAACACTTAGTTACTGGTCTCAGCCCCAGCAAAGACCCCGTGATGGCCTGTGGCCACACAGAAGTATGTCACTCGTGTGTGGAAAAAGGCTTTGGGTCCCTGAAGGAGCTCAGAATTTTGCTCTTAGCTTAGGCAAAAGGAGACATTCTCCTGCTCCTCATCAGTTCCAAAGACCCTTGTGCAAGCAAGAAGAAAGAGAAGCATTACAGAAAGGCCCAGAAGCACATCCTAAAAATCTGCTGGCTAAGTGGAGCACAAACCAGAGAGGAGTGTAGCGCACAGAGAGACTCATCTGGTGCTTTCATGGAAAGGAGGTTCCTCGTGCTCTTGGAGGGAAGAAAACTCCTCCCAGCCATTTAGCCCTTAACAGAAACAAGCATTCATCCCTAACCTACGTTTGAGTTCACTAGTCCTCTTTTATTATACACTATTATCCACAAAAAAGACATGACTATAAGCAGAGGGAAAGGCAAAGCACGTATCAGCCAGGAGACCAGGCTCAGAGAGCGCTTCGTCTCTGCAGGACTGAAGAGCTGGGAGCTCTAATGATCACCTGCCACTCTGCATATGTATTTGAAAGATCCACTTTGCTCTGTGCTGTTCCTAGCTCATGTAAAAGAGCCTTTTTGGACAAGGAATCCACTGTCTGTTAGGCAAATTTTTGCATCCTGAACCATTATAGTGTTGCCAAAATGCCAGTATTGACTATAAAATAACATGATACAAATGAGTAAATAAATCAGTAAATTGGGAAAGGAGAAATGTAGAATGTAAAGAGCGTGCAGACCCCCACCCAGACAAAGCCTGGGATTAGCCTGGACAAAGAGGTTTCTGCAAAAGCAAAGCAAGAGTGGAACACCAATACTCAGACTGAGCTAAGGACAAGATGTCTTGGGGGCTACAAAAAATGAGATATTGTCCAGAGGAGTATAACACCTTTTTAAACAACAAAAGGGTTGAAATAGCTCCTCCTACTCTATCCTTGAGAATCAAATGATTACACTCTTACTAACTAGCATGATGCTAAAGCACATCCATGAAAACCAAGCTGGTGTTCACCAGAGCAGGAAAAGGGATACTTGTATTGGCTTTAAAATGCCCATCTCCATAACCCCGAAGCAACATACCTTTCCATAACAGCCAGGCACTCCTTTCTCCATGTGAACCGACTGCCCCGCCGTAGTCTGAAGGTCCCAGAGGTAGCTGTGACTGGGGGAGGCGTCTGTCTCCATTCTGGCTCTTCTATTGGGATAGGAGCGGGTCTCATGCTTAACGTAGCCCCTAAGAATAATAAATACTGTGTTTCCTAGTGGATTAAAAATCATGCCCATTTTCTCACTCCTGCTCGTGAAAAAAAGACAAGACAGATGATGAAACCATTCAAACTAAAAAAAGTAAAGCATTATCAAATAAAGACACCTTAAAGATACACAAAGCCAGATAGAGTTCCCAACCCCAACCTGCAAGCCAGAGAGGTATCCAGTGACTGTGGAAATCTAAGGGAGACATAACGGGGCTGCTAGTCACCTAGGAAAAGAAGTCCTGTCTTCAACAAGAGGAGAAATGTCTTACAGAAAGGGTGAGCTATGCCCCAGCTGGGATTTGGTTAGGTTGCACTGCTACCTCTTCTGCCACAAAACAGGAAATAGCAGGTTTCTATTTAATTGCACAGCAGTCACAAGAAGCAAAATGTAATTTTATACCAAAGGTATTCCAATGTGTCCAAAGAGCTGAGTAAACACTTGAAATAGCTCCACTGATAGAAACGCACGCTGTGACCTGTGCAAACATGAGCTCCTGAGTGACAGGTTGCCTGAAAAAGTCACTGAAAGCAGATTAACATCACACCTTTCCTCTTCTGTCCCCTTTCTATGGACATATTTCTCCTTTCAAGAAGCCTGACCTGGAAAGCATCAAGCAAGAGACAAGACTTGGCACAATGCCTTCAGGGAAGGTCCTTTGAAACTTACCCCTGATTCTTTCCACAACAATCTCTCAGTTAATAAATCAAAATAAATCAAGACACACTGGGAAAATGATTTTTTGTATATCCCTTGGTGAGGATGGGAACCTGGTACAGGACATTTTAAAACAGGGTATGCCCTGAAGGACAGCTTTGTGCTGCCCCAGAGGGAAGAAATAGCTGTTCTTGTGTGCAAAAAATAATAAAAAACCCCCAAGTAATATGAAAAGATAAATCACCACCTATATCCCACGTGCATACTGAGCTCAACTGGAATTCATGCACTGAATCAGCGTGGATAGATCCAAGAGAAGCAGGCACCTTTGCTCACAGGAGGAATACAACGTTGTGTACACGTAAAAGCAGGGCTAAGACAGCAAATCCCTCTGGGTACACAGACTTGCTCAGAATGGTTAGGATTTAATCAGAAAAACATACTGTGTTAGTGAAACAACACTGCTTGTTTAATTTAAAACAGAGTAAAAGGGTTAAGGGAACTTAAAGAGTTGACCCAATAAACAAATTCCTACAGTTAAAAAGCAAGAAATTAGCTCTTCATGCATTTGGCTGTGTTCCTTCCCAGAAACACACGATGAGTATTTTCCTTATTGCCAGGGGCTTGCATCTGTGCTAGGTAGTGGAGCCCAAAATAACTTAAAAATTTTACCCAAGAGAAGTCTCAAGGAAGTGAAGGCCACAATCTCTGCCTTCCATCCACAACGAAAGGTGACTCTTACTAATTACCAACTAACGAGCCTACACGGATTACTTACATTTTATTGAAACATGAAATATTTTCTATATTGTCAATTTATTGGGAGGCCATTTCAAGGAAAGTTCCTTATATACTCTTTCTAGTGCTTGCACAGTTTAGGGGTCTGGGTCAGTATCAAGTTGTTAGGCTCTTCAAAACCTTCAAATACAATTCAAAAGCTAAAAAACTTTTTTAAAAAAATTAAATAAAAATTTTAAAAAGAGGCAGGGGAGAACAGGTCAAGAAATTAGCTTCCCCTGCATTGTCTTAGCAATACACTTTCCCTGCCTGAGGATTTCATTTCACAAGGAGAATCAGTGATGCAGAGAACTTTCATTACATTTACCCAAGATTTTTCAGGCAAGGGTTGAAAAAAAAATATAAAAAATGAAAAAATCTGCATTTAAAGCATAAATTTGCTCCTGCTACTGATATGTTCACTGAGTGAATAGAAGATGCCTTTTTTGTTTTAGTAGCCTTGCTAGGTCAATTTACCTATGCCTCTTTTCTATGGGGTAACCATCAATATCAGCAGCAGATAAGAGAAGTATGCTGAGAATTACAAGCAAGTCCCCACCACTGTTTTCACACACATGTAAAAGCTTCTGAATGCAGAGAGAAGCCCCAAAATGTGTTTGGATGTGTGAATGGTGGACACATGCACTGCTCTCACATTTGATAAGGGAACTATAGAGCTTTTCTTCATCCCCCTCATTTAAGTGAGCACTTTGGGAATCCGTTGATTCTGCTGTTCCAACACTTCACTGCAATCTTCTCTCCACCCAGCTCCACTGCTTTACAACTTAATAAGTTACATCCTAGTTACTAGGTCAGATTCTTTTTACAAATCCCTCAAACAGCTTTTAAGAAGAAGTGAAACTTCCCTCTTGAGCAGAATGAGCAGAGAAAATGCAATATGAGGTTTTCATCACAGCATATGCATCAAAAAGCAAGAGATCTATAAGGGGTACAGAGGTGAAATGTCTGGGAAGAACCCCTTTCCCAGAGAAAAATGAAAAGCGACAGCTCGCACTACCTGCCAGCGCTGAGCACCTTCTGCAACGATACAGGATTTAATTTGTGCAAGCCAACATTACTGGAGCCAGTCCAGAGGAGGCCACCAGGATGATGCGAGGGCTGGAGCAGCTCTGCTGTGAGGACAGGCTGAGAGAGTTGGGGTTGTTCAGCCTGGAGAAGAGAAGGCTGCAGGGAGAACTTCTAGTGGCCTCCCAGTACCTGAAGGGGCTCCAGGAAGGCTGGGGAGGGACTTTGTCCAAGGGCAGGGAGGGAGAGAACAAGGGGTGATGGCTTGAAAGTAGCAGAGGGGAGATTTAGTTGAGATGTGAGGAAGAAATTGTTTGGTGTGAGGGTGGTGAGACAGTGTCCCAGGTTGGCCAGAGAAGCTGTGGCTGCTCCTCCCTGGAAGTGTTGAAGGCCAGGTTGGATGAGGTTTTGAGCAACGTGGTCTAGTGGAAGGTGTCCCTGCTGATGGCAGGGGGGTTGGAACTGGATGAGCTTGAAGGTCCCATCCAACCCAAACCAGTCTGTGATTCTATGGTTTTCTCAAATGCAGGGTATGACTTTCGGGATGCTCCAGGTGGGTTTTAGAGAGAGGAGACAAGAGAAGTGCTCTCCAACCAGAATGTAGCTCTCTCTGTCCTCAGAATTTCTCATGGCAAAGGCTTGCTTCTCTCAGCACATCCCAGACAGTATCCTGAAGAGCAAGTATTGCTCTTAAAAGCATCACATGCAACTGCTGGTCCAAACCACACATCTCAGAGAGGCCCTGCCATACAGGGGCAATGCACAGAATGGTTGGAACAAGCCTCAGGTCATCTCCCAACTCGAAAAAAAACATTTAGTAGCATGCCTTTTCAGCAAGAACCTATCACATATTATACTGGTAAGAACAGCTGTCACACTTTATTTTTAGCCAGACTGACCTGAGATCAGATGATAAACACCTTTCAGTTACCACCGAGCCAGGCTAGATCTGAATCAGCAGCCTGCACAGCCAAAGAGTCCCTACAGCGCTCATTGCATGGATGGAAAGGAACAGGGACTATTTTCTCTGCAGCTCTGTAAAATAGTAAATCACTAACAATACCTTTCCAGTGCAAATCTCATGGGATACCCAGAACCTAATTATTATTTTTTTTTATTTTTTAGGCTTTTCTTTTATAGCTGAAAAAGAACTGCTATGAGAATAACACAAGAGATGCTGCATCTTGATAATAACTATCTTTCTTCTTCCCTTTTGTTCAAGGAGGAAGAGCACATGGTTCTCTCCAAGGTGACCACAGCTGCCTTCCTATTACAGAAGACTGGCAGAAATAAATACCCAGCCTAAATGGAAGTAGTCTGTATCCATCTCTAACTTTAACACATTATTTCTAGATGCCAGCTTCAGTTTGCAGTACACAGAGGTAAAAGACATCTTCAAGTTACTCCATAACAAACTTTCCACATTGCCCAAGACCAAGTGCCAGCCAAACTAATCAGGCTAACAACTACCAATATATATAAATATATTTATTTTAAACCCATAGGCTCTGAAAAAACAATCAGAACATTCTAGGACTCCACACTCTCGTATACTGGCTTCTGAAACATACACTATTTATCTACTGCCAAAATGCTTGCAGTCCTCTACAAAACACAAGGGTTGTGGTGCTTCTCCAAAAAAAAAAGCCCTATCTAAATGAAAAGCATCCCTATTAATTGGATTAACGACCTTTCAAACACTAGTATTTTAGCACAGACTTCTTCCCCTCAACAAAAATCTGCCTTTCACCCTAATTGGAAACTGTTTTCAGAAAAATTTACATCACTAGTACACTGGAATTTGCAGCATTGCTATTAACTCCAACTTTACTCCTACCAGGAAAACAAAACATTGATCCAAGAAATTCTGAGCAAGATTATTGCATACAGTAGGAAAAGTGGGGTTTTTTTCCTGATCCATGAGACTTAAGTTTCTTTTGCAATGTTCTAGTCTGCTGTTGCCTGAACACCCGCCACCAAAGATGGGAGAAATACAGAAAGAACCCATGCAAACAAGCACTCAAACCCAAGTGACCAACAAACAGCATATTCAAGAAGCTGAAAGAAGCTGGCAAATAATGGAAGTGATGGAATTTCTGAGTCTCTTCTGTACAGGAGCAACATCTAGTGACATCTCAACAGCAGCGACATCTCAATTCTGCCCTAAGGCTCCACGACACTAAGTTCTTTGGTTAGCAGATGCAGGACTGCTTGTGGCTGATTTTAAGTGTTATACAGCACCATTACACATATGAAAAAAGAAAAATAAAATCTCTTTTGATGTATTTATGTGTCAACTTTTGTCCCCCCCTGTATTATTAGAAACTCCTGGCTGGGTGCAGTATATAAGGACAGTAAAAGACAGTCCCTGCTGTGAGGACCTTAGGGTAAGGTAGGCAAGTCATACACAGGAAAATGGTCTCACCTTTAGCTAGGAGACAGGAAAGTGAGGTGCAAAAGTGAAATCATTTACAAAAAAACTGGCAGAGGCAAGGAAAGACTACAGGTCTGCCAAGTGATCCCCAGTCCTTTCCTTACAAAACAACTATTCTTCCTTTACTGTTCAGAAACTGATTATATCTGGTGTCCCAGTCCTTCAGAACTGTTTCATGTAAAAGTTTTCTTTCCATTACCAAACAAATAAATTCAGTCAGAAAATGGACTTACTCTGAAGATCCAGTTTCCCAAATAAGGAATTAAAGAAATGAGGGAACTAAAAGTTCTCACTTTGCTCATGGGTAACTCAAACGCGTAGGTGCTTCTGCAGAGAAAGACCTGACTCTATCACTCAAAGGAGAAGGACTGAGAGTTTATTCCTAGCAGCTGGAATTGCAAAAGGTGGGATACATGAGAATAGAAAGCCAAATGTGACTTTCTAGTGAGCGAGTGAATAGAAAAAACACACGCTAGTCATTTAATCTCTTCAGGTTTTTCAGAGCAGGGCAGGTTTTACACTCTACAGAGACTGCAGTGACTGCATCACTTCTTTGTGAATGTGGCAGGAGGCTCTACTGATTTTCTTATTCTTATTTTATGACTCTAGAGAAGGCAGCAGAATGGCTTGTCGAGTCTACTAATCACAGGATACTATCAGTAGCATCCAAAACTTAGGCTCCATATTGGTTTTATAACAGTAATATAAATCCAGGATTCTTTGGACAAGGCTGGTACCTTCTTTAATACGCTGAATACACTGGCACAGATGCATGTTAATTATCTCTTGGCTGCCCAGTCTGACTTGCAATATAGTAGATGGCAATCATTCAAAGCAGTGGATTATCCCACAATAAATAAATAAATACAACCACATTTTCCTCAAGTAGACTTTTCCAACAGCTACAAGAAAACTAAGGGTCCCCCCCCACTTTAACTCAGCCTCTAAAAAGAAACCAAACATTATTTGTTCTAAATGGAATTTAAGTGCATCCAAATAGTCCCTTGGCATAGGCAGAGGAACCATTTTGCCTTTTGCACTTCTTAAAAATGCCGTATAAGATCTCTTATTTGGGAAAAAAAAGGTTAAACTCAAATAACCACTCTTCAGGAAATTCTTCCATCTGTGTATAAGTGAACAAGACCTCAGCCAGCCTGCATCAGGAAAGTAGAGCTTAACATCGATTCATTTCAATTTAAACTGTAACCTTGAGTGTTGCTAGTCTTCCCTTCTTCCTTAGACACAACAAACAAGATGTGAGTTTGTGGATACAAGGAAAGAAAAGAAGGGTAAGAGGTAGAAGTAAAGATTTTAGTGCTAAGTTTGACAAAGTTTCTCTTTTCCCAGCATAGAATACTATTTCTTAAACAGCTCCAAACAAGACTGGGAAGATGCAAGGCTATGGGAAAGATCCACACAACAGTTTTCATTGTTAGGATGGGACTCTGGGGTTTCTTTCCTAAAATACACCTTCCAAAGAACCTCGTTCTCTCCACTGTTTTGAAGGCAAAACCTTTCATCAAAGGGATATGGCTGAGAGTTACATCTCAGGGTATAACATGAAGCCTTCAAAGCAGCTGATGCTGGAGGGTTGTATCCAGTAACTTTGCTGATCCTTAGTATGGACAGCTCCAGCCACTGCTAAATCAAGGTTCCTCAGCGATCCCTGCAGCTCACCAGCACCTCACAAGCCATGGCAACTTCATTCTTTAAAGTCATATTCTAGATGTTTAACAAAAAGAACAGGCCCAGCTGTGGGTTTGAACCCACCCAACTTTATGCTAAAGTATTCTCAGGCCAACCAACAGCTGGTGCCGCTTGATTTTCAGCTTACACACAAAACAGAAGTTTTGAGGATTTGTTTTTACTGCATTTTTTTTTCTTAATAGAATTCTGGATATTGAAGCCAAGTTCACATTAGAGAGCCTGTGTCTTAAATTCCTTAAAACAATTACACAGTTAATTTAATCATGCCTTTGTTTAAAGGAAATTAAACGTAAATATTTTGATCTTTACAATAAAACTGATAAAGGGAAAAAATAAGAACTGTGGTCAAACAAAACCTAGGGAGAAGAACAATGCAAAGAAATTAATTCAACTGTGATTTTGAAGATTGCTGGGTAGTTAAAGATAATGAGAAGCTTTACTTCTTCTTTTATATTTAAGATCTATTTTGAGATTTGGAGAAGCAGGTGGGATTTGAGAGACACATCTCCAGCTTATCAATGTAACTATCAACATCCCATCCAGGAGCTTGAGATCCAAACTCAAAACCCTCTGAAGTTATCCCAAAGTTCCCCTCTGTTGAAATATGGGGGGGTTTGCTGCACCTTTATATTACTTAGCCATTATTAATGTTTATTATTTGTTCATTCCTAAAAGCCTCAGCATATATTTCATGTTAGTTGATTACAGCTTCACTGCCCCTGCTTCTGATTCCAAGAGTTAGCTAGTGGTGAGAGGACAGGATGAGTAACCATGACCAAGGAGCTGGACAGACAGTTATGGATGAGTCAGCTCTGGATCACTTGCTGCAAAGCAAAGCACAAATTTGTTCCTACCCCCCTAAAAAGTAAACTGGTCAGAGGAAACAACTCTTCAGTACACCAGACCAAGAAGTGAATGATCAGTGATAATAAAAAGCAGTGACAAAAGGCTTCTTTCCATAAATACAAAAGCAGGAGATGTTTAGGTGGTATTTGTTTACCAGGATTTGTCTTCTCAAGCTGGTACCATCTGTAAAATGCCCTTTTCTTTTGTTCACTCAGGTCCGACCCCTGTTGCAACAGCCAATGGGAGATCCGGCTCTGACTGATACCTGTAAAAAAAAACAGAACAAAACAACAAAAAGAACAAAAAAAAAAGAGAGAGAAAGAGGAAAAGAAAACTTGGTTCTTTTAAAAATATTTTAATGTGGTTTATATAACGATACAAGTGTTGTCTTACAAAGCCCAGGAACTCATAATGTTTCAATCACAGAAAAAGTAGTGAGTTGAAGCTTCCCCATCCCATCTCTAACTGCTTTAGTAGCTTCTCCTTGCTGTTATTTTCAACCTTTCTCAAGGTGCGTCCTGGAATCAGCACAATCTACCTACAAGCAAAGAGGGTACAAACTGGGAAGCCAAACCTACCATTGACTTGAATTGATCACAACTTCCCCCGATTCTTACATTTCTTCATCTGTGAAATGGGAACAAGTCCCTTACCCACTACTAGACATAAATGATGATAGTCAGGAGATCATTATCAGTCAATGCTTGAACAAGATGGGAGATAAACATAGAAACAGTTTATGTGATATAGATCAAATCAGCCCAGAAATGGAGTGAGCCAACTATCAGCAGCTATAACAACGGCCAGAAAACAAAACAGAAAGGGCAGCTGTCTGTCAGCAAAGCAGGATTCAGGCTCTAAGTATCGAGGCAAGATAAAGGACAAAAAGTTTGAGAGCTTTTAAAGCAAGACTCCTAAGAAAACAGTATCATAAAATCATAGAATGGTTTGGGTTGGAACAGACCTTCAAGCTCATCCAGTTCCAACCCCCCTGCCAGCAGCAGGGACACCTTCCACTAGACCACGTTGCTCAAAGCTTCATCCAACCTGGCCTTCAACACTTCCAGGGAGGAGCATCCACAACTTCCTTGGGCAACCTGTTCCAGTGTCTGACCACCCTCACAGTGAAGAACTTCTTCCTAATATCTCATCTAAACCTCCCTCTTTCAGCTTAAACCCATTTCCCCTTGTTTTGTCATTAACTGCCCTTAGGAAAAGTCCTTCCCCAGCTTTCTTGTAGGCCCCCTTCAGTAAAAGTGGAAAAACACCTAGAAGTTAATACAGTAAGCGTGATGTTGAATGAAGGATCAGTGCAGAAAGGGAAAGAAGTGATGAGAAGGAGAGGAACCACAAAAAGCAAGAGGTTTAAAAATGTACTAGGAAATAAACTGCAGGTTCATCTAAAAACATTAAAAAATAGTTTGCTGGATAATTGAAGCAGCATTTCAGGCAGGAGGACTCCTTACGCTTTCCACAAGGCTCTTAAGCTATCAGAAAGAGTTCAAAACATCTCAACTCTCCTCAGAACTAAAGTTTTAGGAGGTGCTTCAAGTAACAATATACTGCTCAACACCACCTGTGCCACCACCTGCTTGGTGATAATCCTGAAGCAGGTAGAAGGATGGTTTTCACAGGGAAATCAAACTACCTCTCCCCTCTTGAGATGTATCAAGATTTTCTAAGATCTCATAATCATTTTCCCTGCTCATGGTAGGGGGGTTGGAACTAGATGATCTTTAAGGTCCCTTCCAACCCAAACCATTCTATGATTCCATGATATTTAACTCATGAAAAACAACCCCCTGTAGTTTTAACACTTCTAATACAGGGCTTTTATTATGCTTTTTTTTTTTTTCTTGCTTCCCCCCCGCCCCTTGTTGAACATTGAAGCTAATAAACTTTAGAATGCTTACACTTCATGCCCAGGTATAATATTCAGGTGGGTTTACTCCAACCAGATTTTTAGAATCACAGGGTTTATGCTATTAACTGTTCTTCCTCATACGGAATTCCAGAGAGATGAAGTTTTAATTGTGCTGAGGTAAAGGGATAGGTGTGTTCTGAGGACAGAAGCTTACTGCTATGAAGCAGAGCTCTGCCCACAAAACATACCCTGGTTTGGTTTGGTTTTGATCTTCTTAACACCCATTCCCAGAGACTGCCTTTGCCCCACAGCTGAACAAGTTCACAAACAGCTGGGGCAGTCACAGAATCCCAGAATTACCTGGATTGGAAAACACCTTTAAGATCATGGAGTCCAACCATGAACCCAACACTGACAAGTCCCCTATGACTAACCCATGTCCCTCAGCACTATGTCTACACGACTCTTCAATCCCTCCAGGGATGGGGACTCCACCACTGCCCTGGGCAACCTCTTCCAATGCCTCAGAACCCTTTCAGCAAAGAAATTCTTCCTCACATCCCATCTCAACTGCCCTGGCCACAACTTCAGCCCATTTCCTCTTGTCCTGGCCCTTGGGCCTTGGTTGAACACACCCACCCCCACCTCTCTCCACCCTCCTTGCAGGGAGTTGGACAGAGCAGACTACATGATTCAGGTAGTTGCAGATTACATTATTTCAACTAGACTGAAGCCTTGTTTTAGACTGGAGAGTTTTGACAGTTTGTATTGACTTCTTTTGGTATTAATTTGTATGCTTCCACAGTCACTTGACGCAAACTTGGCAGAATCTAAGATATGTGTTTGGTTGAATAATTCCACTTCCTTAGTAGTATAAACTCAATTATATATCCAAATGTGGGCCCTGGGGGTAGTCAACTCTTGGTCTGTTCAACCAAGGAACAAGTGACAGGACAAGAGGAAATGGGCTCCAGTTGTGTCCAGGGCAGTTGAGATGGGATGTGAGGAAGAATTTCTTTGCTGAAAGGGTTCTGAGGCATTGGAAGGGGTTGCCCAGGGCAGTGGTGGAGTCCCCATCCCTGGAGGGACTGAAGAGTCGTGTAGACATAGTGCTGAGGGACATGGGTTAGTCGGGGACTTGTCAGTGTTGGGTTCATGGTTGGGCTTGATATTCTAAAAGGGCTTTTCCAATCGAGGTAATTCTGGGATTCTGTGATCTAGATGCCCGACCACCGGTGAAAAGATCAAGTTTTGAAAATCTGCAGCTCTTCACCTCCTACAATGAGTTATAAAAGCCATTTCTTTGACACAGTGCTGTGGGACACAAACGTTGGTGTCTCACTGCTTTTGGCTGCACAGCTCCTATTAATCACTGGGTAACAGCACCATTAATTTCCTTGTTTACTACAGTCCACGTACACTTATTGCAGGGAATTACTGTTTGTTGAGTGTTTGGATAACAACATAAGATACACTAGCAAAGCAGTATTAGATAAAAATTATAAATAGAGATTAGGTATCTTCAACAAGAGTTGTACAGTGGAAAATACAAATTCTGCTCAAGAGGCTGCCTGACACTGTCACAAAGTGGTACAGACATTGGCCACTTCAGACAATGTGCTCGAGACAAAGCAAAGGAGCAGGAGCCTAAAGATGCCAGCTGTGTATTGCCATGTCCACATCTGACTCACTGTGAGAACTCACAGAGGTTATAAAGTTGCTCCTGCAAAATGGAGCTTCATAAGGACACTGAGATGCACAGATTCAACAAATGCTCCGTAAATTCTCAGTACATTGTTATTTGACGATGGTATCTCATGAACAGCACTGCAGTCCATAGCATTTCTCACATTAGCAAAAAGCCCACAACTAGTTTTGCTTTTTGGTTAGCAGACTTCTATAGCAATGCCACAAACCCAGATAACACATCAGGTATGGCTTAGGCAGCTGATCTTGCTTTTGGTCATAGAAATATAGTAGATGACCTCTAGAAGACCCTTCATGTCGCATTTCCTGTCATTCTTTTCTGTTTTTAATTATCTTCTCTCTTTGTTTCAGAGATCTGTGGTGAGAGCTGAGCTTCTTAAAGGTTTCCTCTACCTACACCTCTCCTCCTCTTTTTGTTTTTAAGACAGAAAATATCTTTTGCCTGTATATCAACTCCATTTTAAGGCCCCAAAACTGTATATTCAACAGCCTCACTGATTCAAGGTCACATGCAAAGTCAGTAGCAGAAGAACTGATCCAGGATCTCCTGGAGCCCAGTACTGTGTGTGTCTTAATCACAAACCCATCCTTCATGCCTTTCAATTAAAAAAAAAACCCAAAAAACAAATTGTCACGTCAGAGTTTCTTGCATCTCAAGTGGGTTTTATAGAGTTGACTCATAGGGGCAATGACTAGTACTACCACCAGTACCATCCTGTCACGTTGCCTGTAATCACGCTACTTAAGGAAATTGCACTGGCAGGAAAAAAAAAAAAAGAAATCATCCTGCTGCCAGAAGCAGATTAATGAAGTAAGTTCTCTGGAGTACTGAAAATCCAGCTGTCTTGAGGAAATTCACTCTCAAGCTGAACCACGGATAGCAAGGAAGACTGCCATCCTCTGGGCTCAGCATCAGCAGGGACACGAAGACGTTGTAATGAGCTCAACCAGTCTGCTCACAGAAAATGCTGAAGGAAGAAGTGGTAATCACAAAGGATTATAGCAATTCAAACGTTGACTTCTTGTCTCACACGTCACTCCTTCCCATAGTAGGTTATATTTCCTAATTATAAATAAAATGGAGATGGCCATGCTCTTCTGGCCAACCCCACTCTCTCCTATATAAATTATTTGGGGAAAAAGTTTCCCTTTCAAATACATAAAAGAAACAGCCAAACGCATCATCAAGAGAAGGCAACTGGTATCTGCAGCACAAATCCGCTCATAACCCTCACAACTGCTATTCATCAAGTCTTTGGTAACTGGTTTTCACCTTCACAGATAGATTTGTTCAGCGACTCTACTTTGCATTTCTTTCATGTTTCTTTCAGGAGAGATTTTTAGAAGCACCTGGAATACGTCAGATTTGGAGAAGAAAGGAACTGACTGTGTTTTAATTCTTCAGTTTGTAAGCAAAGTCCTAGATTCATATAAGGCGTGCTTGCAAAGGACATCTATCAATTTAGGAGATTAGCAAAGCTTGTTTACAGAAAACCTGCAAAGATCAAAATCACAGAAAAACAAATCTTTCCCTGTGTTGTCATAAGTGGGGGGAAAAAAAAAAGAAAGAAGAGGAAGGAAAATGTTTTTCAAAATCCAGTTTCTTGCCACTTCAGTTGATCAGTAATTCAGTAATTTTCTGAATTCTTCTCACCATGGAACTACTAAAATTTCACTTTGTTTGTATTTGCATT